TAAATTTAAAGATCTAATATAAAATTTTGCTTAATTTTTATACATCAACAGTGGCTAATGGCTTTCTGCTTGGCTTAGACTTAAAATCGCGTCCATTACCTTTTTTTTTTTTTTTTTTTTAAAAAAAGGAAGACTTCAAAACGCGTAGGTGTGTACAATTCCATCTGACGAAACTATCCTTGTCGTTGATTTGAAGTTTTAGATTGTAGTCTTTACCATGTGGGGTCAGTGGGTCCCGGGAGACATCTTTAATCTGTTACACACTTCTACTTTTTATGCATTGACCAACAACTTTTTGCTTGATTTAACTTAAAAATTAAAAAAATTAAATTTTTAATTTGATTCTTTAATTATTGTATAAATTTATAATTTAATCATTAAATTAAAAAAAAAATTTAATTTGATCATAAATTGATTCTTAGTTATAAAAACAAATGATATATTTTATTATTAATATAACATATGATAGTTAAATAATAATTTTTTATCACTAAATAATAAATATATCAGATATTTTTTAATAAAAAAATTAATTTTAAAATTAAATTAATAAATAATAGATCAAATTAAAAGTTTGTATAATAATTAAGGGATGAAATTAGAAATTTAGCCAATTAAAAACCGTGACTATGTGTACGATTCCATCAGACGAGCCTAACCTTGCCGTTGATATTAAGTTTTAAGTCCTCGTCTTTACCACGTTCATCAGTGGGTCCCGGGTATTAAACATTTTGTGCTTATCTCTTTATTTAAGATTGGACCGCGACAAATTACCTCACAGCACCATAATCTTATGGGGCCTCTTTTCTCACGAATCGAATGCATTTCATTGGGCCCGTGAGATATTTGCTGCAGATTTTCTGTCTCTTGCCTCGTTGATTGAGGAACTTTAATTCAATCAAACTTCAGCCCACCAAAAAAGTGAAAAACCAACAAGCAAGTGGGACAGTGTGCCTGTGCCTCATCACGCCTAGTAGGGGTCAAGATATTGGGAGAGGTAGAAGATGTTTGTCTAGACTTAGAAAACAATTGTTTTAAAGCAATTCTTTTAAAAAATAAAATTTTATTAGGGAAATTTAAAAATTAAGTAAAAATAAAAAAATAAATATCAATTTGTATTAAAAAAATTTAAGTGAAAAAATATATGTAAAAATTATATATAATGAATATACATAGTAGTCTTTAAAAATAACTAAATCATATACCAGGCATTGTCGATGGGATCAATGAAAGTTCTCGCAAGTTTATCACAACCGAAGAGTATGCTCCGTCTTGAAAGTTGTGATAAACTTTCGAGACCTTTTAATGACCTCATCGAACATGCCCGGTGGATGCTTTAGTCTTCGAGGTTTAGGTTTAGGGTTTTTTAGGGGTTAGGATCTTGGGTTTTGGGTTTTGGGTTTTGAATATTTCAAAAAAGTGGAAAGACCCACAATCCCCAGGTCAAGGAGGTACAACACTTTGACGACAAATGGAAGCAGAGTTGGAATAAAATTTTTACATATCAATGGTTTCTTGGTGCCTCTCTCTATCTTCCTCCCTATCCAATACTTCAATAACAGAGCAAAGAAAAATTGGAATAAAATCTTGTTTAGGTATTCTGATCTCAAAACAAAAAGAAGCAAGAGGCAAAATTGGGATAAAAATTTTACCTATCAATGGTTTCCTTGGTGCCACTCACTCATCTTCCTCCCTGTCCAATACTTTGATAACAGACCAAAAAAAAAATTGGAATAAAATCTTGTTTAGCTATTCTGATCTCAAAAAAAAAAAAAGGGTGGGGGGAAGAAGGAAGCAAGAAGCAAAATTGGGATAAAGATTTTACTTATCAATGGTTTCCTTGGTGCCACTCTCTCATCTTTCCTCCCTGTACATAACAGAGCAAAGCAAAATTGAAATATACCTAACAAAACCAAAACCACATTTTAAGACAAACCCAAATGATGCTTTCCCATCCTTAATGCTCCTCTTCTGCCTCTGATCTTGCAGATAAAGAACAACATACTAAAAAAACATAAAATAGCTAGCACAAAATTGTAAGAAATTTTATGCAATGAATTGCCAAGACAAACACTAATGAGTAGTATGGTTAGATACGAAATATAAGTTCAACTTACATTTATAGAAACAGAGTAGGAAAAGGATAAACCCATCACTGAAATACATTGGAAACAAAACAGTGTTAGGTTTATCCTCACATTACAAAAGGCCAAAAAAAGTCTAAAAAGCTCCTAAAGTTTCTAAATAAAACAAGTCAGCCAAGTTATGTCCTTCGTTATCTATATCAAGCATAAAATCATAGAGTCCTCTTTGTAAATCTTCCCAAAAACCCCATGATTGGGGTGGGCTTGCTTGCGCATAAGGCTCCTACCACCAATGCTGAGGGTTCTGAGAACCAGGACTCTGAGAAGGACGTTCTATCTCAGGTTTTCCGTCGTATTCTCTCCCCCACTCCCACGCTCTCCCCCATAGAAGAGGGAGAGGAAGGTGAAGATGAAATGCCGGAGGTTCGGCCTCCCATGTTCTCCCCCATGTTCTCCCCCGTACATGCGGGAGAGGAAGACACATATGAAGATGCTGAGATTACCGTCGCCAGAGGAGATATAGAAGAAGGGATGGCCGGAGGGGATATGGGGCTGGGGGGCATAGGTCCTGCGCAAGCAAGCCCACCCCAATCATGGGGTTTTTGGGAAGATTTACAAAGAGGACTCTATGATTTTATGCTTGATATAGATAACGGAGGAAATAACTTGGCTGACTTGTTTTATTTAGAAAATTTAGGAGCTTTTTAGACTTTTTTTGGCCTTTTGTAATGTGAGGATAAACCTAACACTGTTTTGTTTCCAATGATGGCAAGCTTATAGGGGCGTGCTCCCAACGAAGGATAACCTTCATCGGCGACGAGTTGAGACCGACTTGCTATGCCCTGTGTGTGGTCTGGAGCCTGAGTCTATATTGCATTGTTTTGTGTACTGCCCCGCCGCAAGAGCAACTTGGTTAGGATGACCTCTTAGTCTCCGCGTGTCGGAGCTTCATGTTGATAATTTTGCAGCTTTTATTGACAGTATGATACCCTATCCTGGGAAGAGAACAATTAGAGATGTTATGCATCCTGTGCTGGAAGATTTGGGGGTGCAGAAATGAGGCAGTATGGCACGGTAAGCACACAGATCCACAACGCATCATAGAGCACGGCTTGGGCTATTTACTGGAGTATAAACAAGCAATGATCTCAAAAGGCAGGCAAGTGGAACTTGAGCAACAGCTTAGTGAAACAAGATGGAGGCCTCCTGACGTGAGTCACGTGAAGATCAATACAGATGGAGCCACATCAGGTCAGCAACAGAATTTTGGCATAGGAGCTGTGGCACGTGATCATGCTGGTAACGTGGTGGCAGCGATGGCATGTAAAGGGCAAGGCGCAGTGGCCGCTGAGATAGCTGAGGCATGTTCGCTGCGTAAGGCGCTACAGTGGGCGCGAGGCCTTTCTTTTGATAGGATAATTCTTGAATCAGACTGTGCAACCATCGTCATAGCCATGCAACATGATTCTCCCTCTCTGAATTCCACCTTGGGGTTGATTATTTCTGACAATAAGATGCTCATGACTTCTTTCCTTAGTTGTCGAGTTCAGCACATTAGAAGGGAAGGAAACTCTGTTGCTCATGAATTGGCGAAACAAGCCATCCAAGCAGAAGCTGACGAGTGCTGGGGTGCTGACCTACCTGAGCTTATAGCGCAATTTGTAATAAGAGACAAGTCCAATATCTAATTATGTCTTCCCGATTTCTCCCTTATTTATCAATAAAATATGCGCACTCTTTTCATCAAAAAAATAAATAAATAAAGGTCTAAATTATTTTTTTATTATATTATGTATTTTATTTATTTGAAATTTATGATATTAATTATATTTATTTATTTATTTAATAATATATAAAAATTATATATAATGAATACATGTGCAGTAATTTTTAAAAATAAAAGTAAAAAAAATGTTAGAATTTAAAAAAAAAAAACATGCAACGGGCGTCTTGGAGAAGCTTTCTTATTTTTTTATTGTATAGATAGGACAAAGTTAACAGAAATATAATGGACAATGCGACGAAAGCGACGGAAGTAACGGATGTCTGACGGGCATATAACGAAAATTACAAATAATGGTTATTTTGTACAAATCTAAACAAAGAATTAAAAATATTATAATATAAAATAAAATATTAAAATCTTTCGACTTATCAAGCTAAGAAGCTAAAATAGGTTTTGTCAGGACTTGTCTCCCATTTCATGGAGCAAAGAGGAGAAAAGGGAGGCAGAGGCAGGACGTGAGGAAGAAGGGGTATTTGGGGAACATTCAGGACTGTTGGGGTTTGAGGGCTGAAAGTTTTTAGTGAAAAAATAGATTGAAAAAATATAATATAATATAAGAAGTTAATAAAGATTAAACAAAAATAATAAAATTTTTTAATGGTTAAATGCTTGATTTGGTCCCTCAACTTTAAGAAATGAACATTTTTGATCCCTCAACAATTTTTTGCACTTTTTTGATCCCTCAACTATA